GCACACACTGTACAAGGTGGGAAAAGGGGGCTGTAACCTGTGTGGGGGTGGGGAGGGGCTTAGGGACCTGGACAAGGAGGGGCCATTGGCCAGGGCTGGGAGAGGTCACCCCCCTAGTCTGGAGTCTGGCTGTGTAGTAACCGCAACCTGTAGAACTTAACCCCTTAAAGGGTATGTCCTGTGTCCCACCTGTCCTTCAAGGGACCCTCCTTGACACATCAAGCAGCTATCTGTGGGGTAAGCAGTGGGGACACCAGGTCTCCCACAGTGAGCCTTGCTGTGGCTCAGACCACCTGTGGCCCCAGTTGTTCTGCATGAAAGCCAAGGTGGGGATTCCACTGGGAACTGCTACCTGCTGGGTCCTGAAGGAGGGGGCAGGTGTCCCCAGGCAGCAAGAAGGTTTGTAGAAATGACACTGTGACTGCTGAGTGTGACTGTCCCCTCCCACCAGCTTGGTGTCTGGCCCCTAGGAAGGGCCTTGCACCTGCATAGCAGGTGCACAGCGGACACAAAACAGGGCTGGGAAGACCAACACCTTTGCCAGGAAATAGGCAGTGAGAAAGCCCCTATGGGTTCTCACATGGGAACACTTTGACACTTACAGCCAGGCCTTTTAATCTGTCTCTTCTGAAGGTTCCCTCCACTATTAAGTGGCTGCACAGTCCATTTGCAGATCTGCAGGGGCCAAGGTTGGGCAACAAGCTTTCTGAGATTCTCAGCAGGGTACCAGGGTCCCACCTGTCAGGGGACTAAAGAGGAGGGGGCAGAGCCCCTGTGACTGCTGGCAGGCTGAGTAAGGAGCCTATGGCAGACCCTCAGGCACATGGCCTCTGGGGCTGTCACGGTGGGGTAGATGGTCTCTGCGCCTGAGTGGGGCCATGGCTGAACCTGCAAATTTAAAACGCTTGTCTTCCTTTGCTCCTGGAAGGGGCCACAGGATAGGTAAAGACTGAAGGCTGAGCCACCAGGAAGTGGCGCTTCCTGCAGAGGGCAGGTTGGGGCAGGGTGGCCGGGCTTTCCCCAGGCAGCAGAAGTGGCACAGAGAGAGCCCACAGCTGTCACAAGCTATAAGCCTGGGCCCATAACCTGTCCTAAGCCTGGGTGTCTCCATCTGTCTCCCCACCCATGACTGGGACAGCAGGCACAGCTGCCGCCCCGCATGATCAGCCAGGTGACACATCTCTGGGCTGCGCTCTGGCCTCCCACGCTGTCTAGGAAGCCCCATGTAGGAACAGTGGAGGCCCACTAACTGTGGAGCCCCTGGGTGCCTGTGAGGACTGCATGGGGGATGTGGACCCATGAAATCCTCTGGAACAAGAGCGAGGAATCATGGTCAAGGCTGGGCATGGCTCAATGCCATGGTATGTGAATGCTCCAGAATCTGCCTCCCCCTGCCCAGGTGCTGCCCTGCACTCGCTGCAGCCCTCCATGCCCAGGAGCCCAGAGATCCTGATGTTACCCTTGGCAACATGCTGACGCAAATGCCAGAGGGCGGGTAGGGGGCTGTGGCTCCTCTGCCAGGCGTGGGGGGCTGGGGCTCTGCCAGCCCTCTGGCAGGGGAAGACAAGGCCTTGGAGCCGAGTGGGGGTTGAAGAGCTCTGAGCTCTGTGTCTAGAGCCTGGAACCAGGCCCCCAGCCTCCTTTGATTTCTGCAAAAATCGGCAAGGCCTGTTCTTGGCTGCCTTTCCTTTGCTGGGGCACAGGGAGAACAGTTCAGGGCCCTCCAAAGGAGAAGGCAGGGTGGCAGCCCTGCCCCAGGCCTATGGCAGCAGGAGGGCGGGGGAAGGGCACAGGAGAGGCTTGCTGGCGGTGGCTGCAGCGACGGGAGCTGCCTGCAGGCACTGGGAGAGGCAGGCTCTCCTCGCAGCCTGGCCTGGCTCTCCCCTGGGCGGCCAGCCCACCTCGGTGGCCAGCCGGCAGCAGGAGAAATCGCAGCGGGTATTGTCTTTCCTCAGCAGCCTGTTTGTTTTCCATCCTGAGATATTGCTGGTAGAGCATGAAAGGTCAGAACCATTTGGAATCCAGTGAATTTCCAGCCTCGCTTGCTTGAGTTTCTCGTCAAGAATTTCCTTTTCTGGTGAACAACCACCTCCCTGGGCCTGCCGAGACCAGGGTGGTAGCGGGAGGCGGGGCACAGGCCTGACTGCCAGCCCCTCCTTTTAGAAAATGCCCTGAGTGGCCCCAGAGCCCGCTGCCTCCAGGAGGCAAGCTCAGCTTCACAGAGAACCCCACAGCCCGCCAGCAGCCACTGTTCTCACCCAGGGTTTCCCACTGTGGTCTCCCACAGGGCCAGGGCCGTGAGAAGGCCAGCAATACGAGGCCCTCCCAGTCATCCGCCCAGCCTGGCTGTGCAGCCACTCACATGCACATGAGCTGGACCCACCCTGTAAAGAGTGACTGCAATGGAGGAGCAGGCACCGGGCCGAGGTCAGGAAAGACCTCTCAAGGAGGTGACACTTGAGATGAGACCTGAAGGGCAGGGGCAGGTGGGCAAGGGGATGACAGACAGGGTGGGTGGTCATGCTTAAAGCTGGAGAAAGCATAGCATATGGGAGTGAATGAAGCCCACAAAGGCCAGAGCAAAGAGAGGAAGAGGCAGCGAGAAAATGAGGATGGGCTGCTTGGAGCCAGGAGGGCCTCGGGCAGGAGAAGGGCTGGCCCTGGGCCTGTTTTTGAGGACACTTGGGCCACCTCCTGGTTGACAGCTTCAGGGAACAGAGATGAAAGCCAAATACCTCCATGAAACACGGGACCAACTCAGGGCCCAGGCATTTTGCTGTGTCCTGACACACCCGTGTGCACAGGCTCGGCGGTCAGAGCCTGCCAATGGACAGTCTGGGAGACAAGCCCGGCACCCAGGGAATTTGCCACACAAGCTTGGAGATGATAGACAAGACAGCCTGAGATCCAGGTCCTCGGAAGGCCTCAGAGCGCAGGCTATCACAAGCCTCAGGACAAGCAGAAAAAGGCAAAAGCCCGAAGAGCCGACCACCAGAGTCTGTGTGGCTGGAAGACCTGCCCTGACACTGTGCCAGGGCCTTGGTTGGGCACCTTGTTTTGGCTCAGAGCCTCAGAGCTTGGTTAGCTCCAAGCCCTCTACCCACAGCAATGCGTCATCAAGGAGCCTGACCTTGTCTGTCTGTTGGGATGTCCCCTATGCGAAGAACCACACATGGTGCTGAAGTAGGGGAAGGCAGAACAGTAGGGTGGCTGGAATCTCAACACTACATAGTGCTGGGAGCAAGGTGGGCCTGTCCTTGTGGACATAGTATCCTCAGCTCAGCTCTGGAAGAACCCCAGATGCACAGAGGAAAGCGGGGAGAGCCCTGCCTCCTGTCTTCACGGTGGTCTGCAGCTGCTGCCCCTTCTCCAAGAGGCTGGGTCTCACTGCAAACCTGGTGAAAGCTGCAGGCCTCTCTAGAAGAATGCTCAGGTGCCCAGCAGTGCTCATAGCCTGCAGCCATCCACAGACCTCAGGGCTGTAGGACCAATTAGGACTTCCCAGCTGAACCCCCAATGTGCCTTAAAAAGTCACCTCTTCCTTGCCATTGCCCTGGTTCCTTGGAACCTGAAGGCAGACCCCCCATTTACCAGCATGGGGGGGTTTCTCCCATGAGCATCATCACCCCTTCCCCTAGGTTCCTGCCAGCCGCCGCCTTCCTAAGCCCCTAGCATCCATAGCCCCACACCACTTACAGCTCCTTTTGGACACCCTTTGCCTCCATGCCCCACCCCTCAGGATCAAAGGCCTTTTGAGGGCAAATTCTGAGTCTTTGCTCAGTGCTTCTGCCTGGCACAAAACTTCTGCTTCAGGGAGGGTCAGTAGGAGACCGTCGCCACACCTATCCCTTTGTCTGGCTGTGTGGCCTCCACCACCACCATTCCTGGGAGTCAGGGAGCTGTGGCACCTCATGCACTAGGCCTTCTGCCTTGGTTGGGCTGTGGTATGCTGCCCACCTGTACTTACTAGCAAAATGACTGCCCTCTGGCTCAGCAGCTCCCCTCAAAACCTCACTGGCTCAGCACTGGGCCTGGGTTTCCCCTTGGCACCTCTGTGCACTGTATCACCTCTGTGGCCTTCCACACACAGTGCTTCTCAGCCTGGGCTGGGGACCTGAAAGAGCCCCACACTGACCCAACCCCTGAGGATTAAACCTCAGAAACAGGTCTTAACCCTGTCAATACCAGATTCTCAGGATCTGCATGGGGTTGTGGGGCCACAGCAGCTGTTCTGGGACCCAGCATGGTGCCCAGCACTAGTAGGTGCTTTGTACATTTACTTTACTGAGCTGCCACCTGGACCAACAATTGGAGGCCTGGCCTGGGTCTCATCCTCTCTTGTCCTGCAGGGCCTCCAACCTCCCTCCTAGCGTATCCCACATACCTGACTGCACCCCAACCTCACCTGTAGCAAAGCCTTCTTAGTGTCCAGCCTCCCCAGCAAATCTTCCCTGACACCCAGGTGGCTGAGGGCCCCTACTCTGGACTCTGAGCAATATGTTCTTGGTTGCCAAGAAGCAGGACTCACTCAGCAGAGGGCAGGCTCTTTGCACCCTGAGTACTTGCTAGCAATGCTTGGGCACCTGGGGCCTGCAAGTGCTATGAGGGCAGTGCCGTCTGAAGCTCGGTGAGGATAGCCATAGCCAAGGGAGTGACCCCGCACGGTTGAGTCCTAGGGTGTGGTGGTCACCTGGAGGGTATTGGAGCCCTGGGGCCTGACAGGGCACTGAGGTCAGAGTGGGGCTCCCCAGGCTGAGATGGTCACTGAGAGCTGCCGTCTGTGGCAGATGTCCTGAGAGCATGACCCTGAGGTCCTGTGGTGCCTGTGGAACTAGCTGTGCTCTACACTCTACTCCTAGACACATACCTCGCTGGAGCCACCCTGGCCCCCTTATGATGGCAGCCTCTCCCACCCCACCCTTTGACACACCCAGAAGCCCACCTGCTTCCCAGGAGCCAGCAGCGGCAGGAACAAGCAGAAGAAAAGCCTGGCCACTCACCGTCTGGTTGTCCTCATAGAGCTTCAGGTCGTAGCCACTAAGCTCCACGCAGAAGATGATGGCTGTGACACCCTCGAAGCAGTGGATCCACTTTTTGCGCTCTGATCTCTGCCCACCCACATCCACCATCTTGAAGGTGAGCTCCTTGAAGGTGAACTTGTTCTCCACGATGCCCGTGGTCATGTCCCGGGAGCGCAGGATGTCCTCGACAGTGGGGATGTAGTCGGGTGCAGCAATGCGCTCCAGGTCGTTCAGGTAGTAGGCCGCATTGTCCTCCAGGTGGTACTCGCTAGAGCGGCCAAAGCAGGTCTGCGCCCCGGGGTCTGCCCATAGCCGCCGCATGACACCCAACAGCTCAGGAGTGATCTCCCCCTTGCTCTCCGCGGGGCCCGTCAAGGCGAAGAGCTGCACAGCATCATAGGCGCGGTCGGGGTTGTGAAAGTCAATCTTGAGGGCAGCTAGGGCACGGATGATGCGGGTCAGAGAGTCAATGGCATTGTAGATGATGAGCGGCTTGTACTCCTTGCAGGCCTCCAGGTTGAAGCCGCCACTGTGGATGATCTTCATCTGCTTCACGATGGTGCTCTTGCCTGAGTTGCTGGTCCCCAGCAGGAGCAGCTTGATCTCACGGCGCTGCCGCTGGCTCTCCGAGCGCAGGTGGCGGTCGATTCGCCGGGACCGACGCGCCGCCTCTTTCTCCTCTGAGCTTTGCCGACATCCCATGGTCTGGCAGCAGCGGGCCCAGACAGGAACACAGGACTGGTGCCTCTCCCTCTACCCCGAGGGAACAGGATGCTGAGACTCAGGTGGTGTGCCCAGCAGACAGAGCCCAGCCGCCCTTGAGCGCTCAGTGCGGGTGGCAGGGCGAGGCCAGACCCCGCTGCAGCCCCTGCCCCAGCGCCTCTTCTGCAGCTGGCATGGCGCTCCTGCTGCGGGGGGTGGCTGAGCCCTCCCTCTAGTGACACTCCCCCTCCCCAGGCTGCCACCTGGCCTGATGCACAGCAGTCATTTCCTGTCCTCCTGGTGGTGGGAAGCCGTCCACTGGCCTCTACCCACTTGCCTCTGCCTAGGCTGTGGCCGGCTGGTCCCCGGTTGCTGTGGCGATGCTGCTAAGTGTGGCTGGAAGGCCTGCCACCAGGGCCGCTGCTGCGGGAGCTCCCTGCGGCCCCCCTGCCTCGGGCATCTGCCCTTCACCTGCCAATACAGAGAATAGCATGAGCTTCCTCCCACGGTGGGACAGGGAGTCTTCTGGAAAGCAGGAAGCTGCCTGGGAATGACTAAGCCCCCTCCCCTCCATGGAGCTCCAGAGTTGGTGTCCAAACCACAGCAAACAAACACACTGGCCAATGTATCCTGCAACCAGTTTGCTGAAGCGGGTGCTCAAGGAAAGAGCCCCAGCAATATATCATGAGAGGGTCTTTAAATTGGTGGGAGTGAGTCCAGACCCTGCCGCCCCTCCCTGGACCCGACGACCTTACCCTCCCTGAGCCTCGGCCTCCCTGTCTGGTGGTGGTTAGGATTCAACATGGCAGCTCTGTGCCCTCTCCTGCAGCTGCTGGGGCTGCACCCACATGTGCTGTGGCATTGATAGGGCTCAGCCCCTCTCTGGTTTATGGTGGGGATCCAGGCCAGGATAACTGGGTGCCCCAACTCTTACCACCTCCCACAGGAGCTGGGCCACCCCTGTGCTCTCCCAGGGCAGGACATTCACCAGAAGGAGGCTGGCCAGCCCTGGGAGTGAGGAGGCAAGAAACAGAGCGAGGTAGAAGAGCTGGGAGCACGACAGGGTGGACAATGGTCTGGGGCTGGGGCTCTCTGATGGGCAAGGTGCCTGCCTTCCTCGTGGGTGAGGTAGGAGGCTCAGGCTGGGCAGGCTGAGTAGGGGGAGCAGAGGCTGGGAGGGGCAGGGTGGTAGCTAGGTATGGAAGGTAGGACAGGCAGGGGCCCAGAGGCTCTCTGTCCCAGGCCAAGCCTTTCATGTCCTCACCCTTGCCTTGCTGCTCAGTAAGGAACACCTATGCTCAAAGCTGGGGCAGGGTTTCAGCACCCTGCTCTCCAATGGCCACCCAGGACACCTGTAAGCTCTTTCCCGGGGTTCCCCAACAAGCTGGGGGCAGCTAGGCCAGGGCCCTCCCACCATAGCAGCCCCAAAGCTCAGGTTCTGACCCCAACTGGGAGCCCAGGGTGGTGTTTGAACCCAATCTACCCACCCCCATACACATATCTCTTGCCTCTTTCCCCCAACCTCTGTCCCTGCTGGGCCACCTACTGCAGCCTCCCCATTCTGCCAGGGCCAGCATTCACCTCTCTGACACATTCATCCCCCCTACAGCGGGAAGGACTCGAGGCTGACAAACCCTGAGAGCTACAACTTTTCTGGTCTCCCCACCATCCACATATTCCTAGATGGCCTCCTCCATTGCTAGTCCCAGGGGCTACTCTGATGCAGGCCCTGAGTGCCTGTTCTCTCCCTGGGCCGAGGTTCCCACCTCTCCCTGCTCCCTGGGCCCACCTGCCTCTGCAGCCACGGGTGCTTTAAGCATCTCTCACACCTCCTCTCCCCCAGATCAAAGCTCCCTGTACCCCCACTACTCATAGGATGATGAGTCTCATCCCAGCTGATGAACTGGGCACACAACCTCACGGCTCAGAGCTGGTCCCTCACCAGTCACAGGTGTCTGTGAGAAGCAAAGCATCCAGTGTAGAGCCTGGTACCCAGCAAGTGCCAGCCAGCACTTGCTCACCCACATGTGCGCATGCGCTATGTAAACAGAGTTCTGGGCTGGCACTTCCCAAGCAAGCACTGAACTACAAGAGACTTGTTTTTTCTTTGCATTTTACCATATTGCCTATATGTTCTTCAGTGACTTTTGTCATAAGAAAGGTTTGTAAATGAGTATCCCGGCATTGACAAGACCCTGTTTCTCGTGGCACCAGGGGCTGCCTCTCTCCGCCTTGTACTGTGAGTGGGTCGGGCAAGGCCCCAGGGCTGCTCCCTGGTCCCTGCTGATAACCCGGCAGTCCCCTGGATATGGACGGGAGTCCAAAGCCCTCAACCAGCTGCCTGGGGCATCCTGCTCCACACTGGAGCTGCCCACTGTCCCCAGGACCCTCCCAGCCAGCACCGCCACTCCCAAGGAAATTCCAGTGTCCTCCCAAAGGCAGTGCTGGCCCCATGTTGTCGTTACTGTTTTTCTCAATTTTGGGTTTTAAAATATGAAGTACAGACAGGCTTATGTGATCAATTCTCCCTCAGCAAGTCAACAACACGGACAAAGATCATCCAAAAGAGCAGGTTCCTCCCACTGTTTGTTGTCATCTGGGACAAGCAGGCTCCCAGGTGCTAGGTCTGCATGCCTTGGGGCACCCTGTGGTGACCTCACTCTTGGCACAAGGTCTAGCCCAAGCAAGCTGCACGGCCTGGGATTAAGTGGGACAGTCTCTTGCCTCCATGCAGAGCTGCACTTGAACAGACAGAGATGCCGGCTGCTTCCTCAGAGGGGAGCACACAACCACCCTGCCTCAGGGAGTCGGCCAGACCAGCCTGGCACAGGCTGTTCTCTGAAGGCTCGCCTGTCACCCTGGGCAGCTCCCACCAGCAGTGCCTCTTGTCTTGCTCCTGTACCAGAACTCTGCCTGTTCTTCACAGATCATCTCACACACGGCTGCCATGCCCACCAGCGGGCACCGTCCCCCTCCTGCTGCCCGCGCCTCTCTCCTCTATGTTCTCCCCTTCTCTGGCCTCTCCTGCCACACTGGGATTTCCTTAAAAGTGGTGAGGCCCTTACCTAACACTATATACAAAAATTAACTTATGGTGGACCAAAGATTTAGTAAGACCTAAAATTATAAAACTCTTAAAAGAAAGCACAGGGCAAAAGTGCATGGCATGACACTGGATTTGGCAATGACTTCTTGGTTATCACAGCAAAGACACAAACAAAAAAAAAAAAATCGACAAACTGGACTTCATGAAAATTAAAAAATTTTGTTCATCAAAAGATAATATCAACCAAATAAAAAGGTAACCCACAGACTGGAGAAAAATATTTGCAAATCATTTATCTAATAAGGGATTAATATCTAGAACATACAGAAAACTCCTAAAACTCAACAACAAAAAGAACCTGATCCAAATCTGGGCACAGGACTTAAATAGACATTTCTTCAAAGACGACAAACGAATGGCCAGTAAGTGCATGAAAAGATGCTCAACATCAGTAATCTTTAGGGCAAGGCAAATCAAAACCACAAGGAAGGCCCAGCCGGTGTGGCTCAGCGGTTGAGCGTAGGCCTAGGATTCAGGAGATCGCAGTTTGATTCCTGGTCAGGGCACATGCCCGGGTTGCGGGCTCGATTCCCAGTAGGGGGTGTGCAGGAGGCAGCAGATCAATGACTGTCTCATCATTGATGTTTCTATCTTTCCCTCTCCCTTCCTTTCTGAAATCAATAAAGATATATTTAAAAAAACAAAAAACCAACCACAAGGAGATACTACTTCATACCTGTAAGATGGCTACTATAAAAAACACACAACAGAAAATATCAAGTGTTGGTGGGAATGTAAAATGGTGCAGCTGCGATGGAAAACTCTGTGGTGGTTCCTCAAAAAATTAAAAATAGAACTAGCATATGCTCCAGCAATTCTGCTTCTGGGTACTGAAATCAGGGTCTTGAAGAGATTTTTATACACCCATTTTTATACAGCATTATTCACAGTAGCTAAGCTGCAGAAGCAACCCAAGTGTCTACTGACAGATGAATGGATAAGCAAACTGTGGTCCATCCTTACAAGGAAATACTACTCAGCCTTAAGAAGAGAGGACATTCTGATCCATGCTACACATGGATGAACCTTGAGGACATCATGCTAAGTGAAAAAGGCCAGTCACAAAAGGACAAATACTGTATGATTCCATGTATAAGAGGTCCCTAGAGTCATAAAGTTCATAGAGACAGAAAGTAGGATGGTAGGTGCCAGGGGAGAGGGAATGGGAAGTTGTTTAATGGGGCAGTTTCAGTTTGGGAAGATGAAGTCCTGGAGGTGGATGGTGCTAATGGTCGCACAATATGAATGTGCTTAATACCACTGTATACACTTAAAAATGGTTAAAATGGTAAATTTTATGTTATGTGTATTTTACTACCAAAAAAAAAGGCAGAACACCACGTGGTGTGGGAAAAGGAGCGGCAGCCTGATGACCAGTCCTGGCTTCACCCACCAGCGGAGGGCTGTTCTGGGCCCACATTGTCCACACTGTGGACGGCCCGGGGCCAAATCTTGTGGGGGGTGAACCTTGCCTATCCAGCCTAGGGTCCAAAGCGGCCCTGTACGAGGAGGTGTGACTTGTGCTTTGGGAAGTATGTGCTCCACGACCTCATGGCTGAGGGCTGGGCTTCCAAGAATCAGATCTTGACCAGTGCACACCAGCAGCCACAGGGCAACACAGGAGTAAAGGGGAGATTGTGGCCAGGTGGTGGCTGGATGCATACAGCCACCAACAGTCACATCTGAGGTGGTTCCCTCTGCTGGAGGCACCCTCCTCCTTCAGACCTCCAGAACCAACATGGAGAAGCCCCCACACAGCGCTCTCCTTGCAGCTCTGCGGGGCTCGGCTGCATTCCGGCGGGGTGGGTGCAGGTGCCATGGAGCTAGCAGTGTGTGTGTGGGGAGGGGCAGGGCTTTCCACTGTCCCAGTTACTTACTGGGCCAGGGATTTGAGCCTGGCACTTGGCCCAAGTTGAAGGTCACTGATGACTGAAGCAGACAAAGACCTGTGCCTGAGTTTCCGCAGGTGAGGAGGGCAGGCGTCAGGCTGGAGGCGGCAAATAAACAGTAATGGGGGAAGGTCCTGAGATCCGAGTAAGGCCGGAGATGGGGTGTGAAGGCAGCAGGTCTGTAAAGGTGGGTAGCCTCCCGACAGGTGACAGGTGAGAGGTGATGGTGAGCAGGAGGTCAGGGAAGTGGAGCTGCCAGTGCAAAGGCCTTGAGGTGGGAATGTGCCTGGCCAGTCTGAGGGACCGGAAGCAGGTGGGTGGCTGTGCTGAGTGAGCTGACAGTAGGAGGTTACTGTAAGGGCTCTGGCTTTTTCTCTGAGCATGTTGGGAGCCAGCGAGATTTTGAGCAAGGAGTGTGTGACCCGCCATATGTATGAACAGCATTTCTAGACCAAGGGAGGCTCCTGAGT